TATAAAGGCACAAAGTGACTTGCTTACAAGTTTTCAAGAGGGAATTTAGTTTCAGAGTGTGGAAGGAAAGGTAGAATCCCCACTGAAAAGTTTTCATCTTGTCTAGACGGGTCTGGTGAAAGAAGATGGGGATAAAATTCTTATGATTCAATAGTGAGTAACTGTTGTTATGACTAATTGTAATTGTCACAACTGTAAAGGTAACATAAAGGGAGTAGTTTATCCTACATTCCAGGAAGAGAGGATCCTAGGACCATCAAGGGAGAAGACCACAAGCAGAATGTGGACCCTTACCAGAGAAGCAGTGACACCAGAGATAAAGGCAGAGATGAGGAGTTGGAGAGGTAGAGCAGCTGAAGACTCTAGACTCATGGAAAGAGAAAGGCTGTGTGCTGGTGGCCAGGAGGCAGGCTTGCAGAATGTGTCCTTTAGTTGTTTAAATGATTATATATGCCTGAGTGTTTTTGTGTCCATCAAAAAAAAAAAAGAAAAAAACAGAGGAAACACTCATATTTATAAAAATTAACTAATAAATTTTTAAGATGCAAACCTGAGTTTTGTGGCATCAACTCAAAACAATAATCAAAGGCCAAATTTGAAATTCTGGCTTATATCAAAGCATATACCATTTTCAAATGTTAGATTGACAACTTGAGAAAATAAAACAAACTTTTCCTTACTTGAAAACTTCTTTGGTAAGAGACTGATCCAGCGTTTGAAACAAAAAATAAGAAACTATTTGAAAGGCATCACGGTTCAACTTGTCAAACATGTTCCTAATGATTGTTTTTTTAAAAAAAAGGGGAAAAAAGAAAAGAAAAATGATTAATAAAGCCAAAACATCATCAAAAGCTCTGATTTTTCTCATTCATATGTATTTTAGAATCAACAAGAAAAACATACAAGCTTTATTTTCTGATCCCTAGAAAATATACATCAAATGTATGAAAACCAGCAGAACCTGCTTTATTACGATAAAAATATTCCACAGAATGGGAAGAAAAGTCTAATTTACTGGAGAAAGAACCATGGCCTATCAGATGATACCAACCAACATCTAATGAATAACAACTACAAAAACAGCTAATATTTACTGAGAGTTACTATCTGCAGATATAATTTTAAACCTTTCAAGAGCAGTAACTTTTCTTCACAATAATCAAATGAGGTTTTAAGTACCATGCTAAATGCTTTATAACAGATTTTATTTAATCCTAACGCTATGGGTCGTAATCAACTTGATGGCACTTAACAACAATGTCACTAAGTTCTGGTGTGCCAATGTGAGATAATGCAGCAGGCTGAAAAGTTGGTTTGGTCTGTAGGTCGGCGGTTCAAGCTTACCAGCCACTCCTCAGAAACCCTATACGGAGTCACTATAGGTCGGAACCCACTCAACGGCACTTAACAACGACACCAAGAAAGTAAATCTATTAGCTTCATGTTATAGATGAGAGGTTAGATAATTTGCTCAAAATCATATAACAACAACAAAAAAAAAATCATATAACATCCTGGAAATGCAGAGATCAAAGTGATCCAAACCTAGGGTCTTTACCACTATTTCCCACCCCCAAGAACCATTCTTATAAAGTAATCCCAGCAAATCCTTTAGTGTTTTCACTTTCCTAACCAATCAAAATAAAGCCCCTGCCCCAAAACAAAGCCTGAACATATAGAATATAAAGGGGAAGGGGGGGAAGAGACCTATAAGAAATATGACATCACTTGTTGTTGTTAGGTGCCATCGAGTCAGTACCGACTCACAACGACCCTATGCACAACAGAACGGTACGCTGCCCGATCCTGGGCCAACCTCATTATCGTTGCCACGCTTGAGCCCACTAATGCTGCTACTTTGCCAATCCATCTCACTGGGGGTCTTCCTCTTTTTCTCTGACCCTCCAACCCAACCAAACATAATACCCTTCTCTAGTTACTGGTCCCTCCTGACAATATGTCTGAAGTATGAGAGATGAAGTTTGGTCATCCTGGCCTCCAAGGAGCACTCTGGCTGCACTTCTTCCAAAACGGATCTATTGGTTCTTTTGGAAGCCCATGGCACTTTCAATATTCTCCAACACCATAACTCAAAAGCTTCAATTCTTCTATGGTCTTCCTTATTCACTGTCCAGCTTTCACAAGCATATGAGGTTACTGAAAATATCATGGCTTGGGTCAGGCACACCTTAATCCTCAAGCTGACATCTTTGCTCTTCAACACTTTAGAAAGGTCTTGTGCAGCAGATTTGCCTAATGCAATATGTCACCACCACTCGTCTGTTAGTTTGTCACACTGTGGTGGCTTGTGAGTTGCTGTGCTTCTGAAAGCTATGCCACCAGTATTTTAATTACCAGCAGGGTCGCCCATGGCAGCCAGGTTTCACAGGAGCTTCCAGACGAAGACAGACGAGGAAGAGTGATGAACTATTTCCGACTATTCAGTCACTAAAACCCTTAGGACTAGCAAAGAAACCGATCTAGTATCGGAAAATGAGCCCCTCAGCTCGGAAGGCACGCAAAACGAGACCGGGGAAGAGCTGCCTCCTCAAAGCAGAGTTGACCCTGGTAAAGCCCATGGGAGTAAAGCCCGTGGGACCTTCATTTGCTGATGGGGCACAACTCAAAATGAAGAGAAACAGCTGTAAAATTCCATTAATAATCGGAACATGGAATGTACGAAGTATGAATCTAGGAAAATTAGAAATTGTCAAAAATGAAATGGAACACATAAACATCAATGACATCACTTAGAAGGCATCAAATGTGATTCCAAGGAATCAAATCATGGAACAGTTTTTATAATTTTAGCATTTATTCTCTTGCTTAAATTCTCATGGCTAGTAGTAATCTACAACAATTCTGTTGTCCTTCTTGTTATTAACTACCATCAAGTTGATTCTGACTCAAAGCGACCCTGTAAAGGGTTCCTGAGGAGCAGCTGGTAAATTTGAAGCGACGACATTGCGATTCAACCTGACCTTGTGGTCCAGTGTATTACCCCACAGCACCACACTAGGACTTCTTAGAATGTCTCTATTCCTCAAAAATCACAAATGACATTCCACCTATTCTACCTCCTCAGCATCTCCTGAACCTGTTACTTTTTTCAGAGTACCCTGTTCTTTTCTCTCTGGCATCTCTTATAATTTGTGTTGTTATGGTTGCTAAGTGCTGTTGAGTCAGTTCTGACTCATAGCAACCCCATATAGGGCTTCTGAGGAGCAGCTAGTAGGGTTGAACTACCAACCTTGTGGTTCACAGTCCAATGTAGGAAGTTATTCACAGAAGGTTTGTTCACCGCCAGATTAAAATTCCTGGTGTTGCAATGAGAAACTAATCACAAGATCAGTGGTTCAAACCCCACCAGCTGTTCCCCAGAAACCCTATACACAGGAATTGACTCTGTAGCATTTAACAACACAAGACTAAAATTGCAAAGGGGCAAAGTGTCTGTCTATGTTCCCTCCTGTATACCCAAGTCCAATGGTGAATGAACAAACAAATGAATAGCCTCTTTCCTTATCCATCCATCACCACCTTATTTCAGGCCTGTTGTTGATGTTAAGTGCCATGGAGTGGGGTTCTTAGGTACCAAACAAAGCCCTACTTCTCCCTCGAATTCACTGTAATACAACCAGAAAGTTGTCCAAAATCAAATAGCCAGGGGAATGAAACATAACATCATTTTCCAGATCTCAGTATGACTGAGGAGAATCAGAGCTGGTCTACGGATCCCAAATTCCTATTTACCTATTGGTGAGGAAGACACAGAAATACAGACAAAGCATTTCGCTTTATGGTCAAAGACATACAGATGTAGCAGAAGCGGGCAAAGGGCTTTCGCATTTTTATATACTTCTCTACTGTTGTTTTTTAATTTTGTTTTATTTTTGCTAGTTGTGGCAGCCTCCTTTTCCTAACACCAAAAGTAAGCAAATTTAAGGAACCACCACTTCAGAGACCCCCATGCACACCCTGGAGTCTAAGGCCATCTACATCCCACATCTTACACACCATCCACCTCTACCACCAAGGTGGGTGAGCTGCCCCTCCAGCTCAGTCCCCATTTAAGACTCGTGGTTGTTACCGGGTTTGGTGTCTTCAAGTCACTATGAGCTTACAACGACCCCACATGATTGAGGAGTACAATCCCATAGGATTCTCTGGGCTGTAATCTTTATGGCAGCAGATCCCCAGTTCTCTCGCGCGCAACCGCCCCGGTCTGTAATTAATGCTGCCCTGTCACCAGGCTTTGTCCCCAATGCCTGGCACACAGTAATCGCTCATCCACTTCTGGCTCATTCAGCGGCAGGGTGCGCGACCGCGCGGATCACCCCGCGTCCCCGCTCATAGGCTCGCCCGCCCGCCCGCCCGCCGGCCGGCCCCGGCCGGCCCCGGCCTTACTGTCCGAAGTGCGTGAGCGACACAATCTTCCCGCAGGCAATGGTCGCCGGGCCTGGCTCGAAGCCGAGCGCCTGCAGATACAACCAGAGATGCTCCTTCTCGAAGGCGGGGACCCCCGACGAACTCATCCTCGCGGTGGGCAGGCAGAGAGCAAAGAAAAAAGGGCGCGCCCGAGCGACTACAAACACCCGCAAGGTCCCGCCCTAAAAAGGGCGGCCTGCGGGTGCGGCGACCCCTTCATTGCCACCTGGAGCCATTTCGACTCAAAACGCTGCCGTAACGTCTCCGGGAAACTGGGCCTCTAACGGCAGCGAAGCTACAGGTGGCTAGACTAAGCCAACACAAACCGACACTTCCACGCTTCCGGGAGAGGAAGACGCCCAATGATCCGCAAGAGCGGAAGGAACTGAAGCCGCCCGGCTTCCCGAGAGGTGGGACTTCGCGGGCGTTCGTATTCCCCGCCATGCACCGCGCCCGCCTCCCGTCACGTCCAGCCGCGAAACGGCGCGCCCCACAGCGCCTGCGCGGTCAAGGAGGTGCTACGCTGCTGACCCTTACTAGTGCGCTCGCTGTGGCGGAGCCCTAACTTTTGCGGTGCCTTACGCTGGCGCGGGAGACACATCTCCGTGTAAGGGAAATTGCGCTGTGTTCCTTCCACAGCTCTTATTACTGTGTGACCCTGAACAAGTCACCTAACTTCTGAACCTGTTTCCAGTTTTAACATTGCATCATTAGGAAACGAAATTAAAAACAAGACCAAACATGAGAGGGCTCCGAATATTATTAACTGGGGGGCTTGGCTTTTGGTTTTGTTGTTGTTAAGTGCTGTCGAGTCGGTTCCGACTTATCGAAACCCTGTATGGAATTTTCGAGGATCGGTTGGTGAGCTTGAACCGCCGACTAGCGCACTAACCTGCAGTGCCACGCAGACAAGGGTAGAAAATTTGAATTGTATCTTAAGTCAAATGAGAAAAACATTGGGAAGGTACTTAATCAAGGACCTGTCAAGATATAAACATTGGTGAAAGCTTTCCTGACTGCTGTTGTGGGTTGAATTGTGCCCCCCTCCCCCCAAAAAAATATGTATTTAAATTTCGATCCCTGGTGTGGTGCTGTGGGATAAACACGGGGCTGTGAACCACAAGGTCTACAGTTAGCCCGCTTCTCAGAAACCTATGTTATTAGGGGCCTTGGAACCTGTACTGATGCATAGCGACCCTGAGAACAACAAAATGAAACACTGCCCGGTTCTGCAGCATTCTCACAATCTTTCTTAAGCTTGAGTCCACTGGGGCTGCCACTGTGCCAATTCACTTTTGGGGGGTCTTCCTGTGTTTCACTGACGCTCCACTTTACCAAGCATCATGTCCATTTCTAAGGACTGGTCCCTCCTGAGAGCATGCCTGGTTATCCTTGCTCCTAAGGACCATTTCGCTGTACTTTTTCCAATACCCAATACTTGGGACCCAGCAGTTTTGAAACATGTGTATAGAGTTTAAGAAATGTATTTTCTAGGTGCAATCCCCCGCTCCTTTAAAAATTTTCTTTACCTTGTACACTTGACAGCTGAAAAACAAACAAAACCATAAAATGGGAATAATAATGGGTCAAATTTACAAAATAAAGTACTGTTTTGGTGTGGGAGTTGTCATGAGGCTGTGTTGAAGTGACTTTTCTATGGAGGATATTGAGTATCCATTGAAATGGATTTGTTCAGCCATTTGTATTGAGCATTTAAATGCAACAGATATCATTTCAAAAATTTATTAAAAACAAAAGTGTGAAGCATACTGGTGAGATGCTGCAGCTTCAGCACTAGACGGCTAACGGAACTAACAGCATTTAACCACAACAAACTGAGGCAATTTCTGTTCATTAAGGCCATTCATTGTGGTATTTCTATTATAACATCACTAAGAAACTGAGACAGCTACTATATAGGGGCAGACAGAGAGGGGAGGCACAGGGGACACCCAGAAGAGAAGCAAAAACGTTGGTTAGAACTTCACCATAGTAGTGCAGGGAATTGTTGATAAGTGCCATCAAGTTAGTTCAAACACACCGCAACCCTGTATAGGGTTTCCGAGGAGCGGCTGGTGAGTTTCTATCACCAACCTTTCCATTCAAACTGACTTATGGTCCAGTGCTTATCCTACTGCACCACATTAGGACTCCACAGTGCAGGGAATTGTTGTTGTTAAGTGCCAACCTTGCAGTTCAAACTGACCTTGCAGTCCAGTGCATTAACCTTCAGTACCACACCAGTGCAGGGAATAAGAACTGGCCATTTGAAATAGGTGGTAGCAGTACTATAGGATAAGCACTGGACTGCAAAGTCGGTTTGAACTGCAAGGTCAACGGTTCAAACTCATCAGCTGCTCCTTGGAAACCCTATACAGACAGCGTCGCTATGAGTTGGAAATGACTCCACAGCACTTAACAACAACAACAATAGTGGTGGTGAAAATATTTGATTCACGCTCTAGTTTAAATGAAGCTTGGACAGAACAGACATTGATTGGATACTAATCACAGCGCTTTAAGCATTTGTGCTAAGCACTAGGGACCAGGCTCTTGAGGAACAAGTGGTCAGTATAAAAGGCACACAGATTTTAAATACTGCATTAGATGACCAAGATTGTTAATGATGACAGGATTTCAAACTACAGTTTTGAAATCTTTAATGTCTGATATTCTATATCATTTTGACTTATATTTCTAGACTACCAAAAATGAAATGGATGGTTTCCCTTGCATACCATTATAAAATAGACACTTGAGGGAGAGAGGAGGAATAGCCAGAAATATCACCATAGAAAGCTTGTAAATCTGTCTTCTGCCTATAAGTGATTGTTGTTGTTGTTAAGTGCCATTGAGTCAGTTCTGACCCATAGCGACCCTGTATAGGGTTTCCAAGGAGCAGCTGGTGAGATTGGAATACCTAAAATGGGGCTACAATGTGCCCAGTGAAGGAGGCTTCCTATGGAGCCTCTGAATTACATAAGACCATAGGTGGAATCATGAACCCCATCCAGAATCTTCTGAGGTGGGAAATTTCTACTGGAAAGGACAAGCAGACCAGCCTGGAGCAGCTAGAAGAACAAACAATACTTCTTGAAAGAAAGACCGATGGGAAAAATATAAAACAATAATGGCAGTCTGACTGACTACTACAAGAACAAGTGAGTTGCCCACCCAGGAGACGTCAAGGCAAGTGGTCGTTAGGTCCCCTCAAGGCAAACCCCCTTTCAAGATTAAGACAACGGGAATACACAAGCAGACATGCGCTCTGACTGGTGACCACGTTGGTCACTGATAAGGGGAAGTTTGGAAAAAAAGCAATGAAGCTGCAAGCTAAGCCCTACCACGTTCAATAGACTCCTGTGAACCCTTACAAGCTTTCAAGAGGGAGCCTAGATGCAGAGAGTGCGGAGGAAGGTAGAATCTCCTCTGAGTGGTATATCCAATCTGTCTGGGCAGGGCTGATGAAAGTAGATGGGGATAGCACTCATGTGGTACAATAGTGAATAATTGTTATCAGGACTGACTGTGAGGGTTGGAAATGTAAAGGTAGACATTTTGTAGCAAAAGGAGAGGAGTGGTTGACTTTACAGTCCAGGAGCGGAGGTCTCTGGGACCATCAAGGGAGAAGAGCGGAGTGCGGGACCCTACCCAGAGAAATAGTGACACCAGAGATGGAGACAAAGACGACGACATGGAGAGATGGAGAATTTGCGGACTCTAGACCCAGACAACTGGGGGGCAGGCTTGCAGGGTATACCCTTTGGTTAGTTGATGACGCATGGAGAGGATTGTAGCCATGACAATGAAATGATATACAATAGGATGAATGTAAAGCTAATGTTCTCCCATGTAAACTATCACATAATTCACAGTAAAACATTTGGGGAGAAAATTAAATGGAATACATAAAAACCAATATCCTAGGCATTAGTGAGCACAAATGGTCTGGTACTGGCCATTTTGAATCAGACACTATGTCAGGAATGAGAAATTGAAAAGGATTGGCATCACATTCATCGTCAATAAGAACATTTCAAGATCTACCTTGAAGTACAATGCTGTCTGTGATAGGATAATATCCATATGCCTACAAGGAAGACAGAAGTCCTGGTATGGTGATGTGGAATAAAGCATTGGACCAAAAGGTCAGTTTGAACCACAAGATCAGCAGTTCAAATGTACCAACCGCTGCTTGGAAACCCTATGCAGGGCCGCTATGAGTCGGAACAGACTCGTCGGCACTTAATAACGGCACCTATAAGGAAAACAAGTAAATACCACTATTACTCAAGTTTATGAACCAACCTCTAGAGCCAGCAATGATGAAATTGAAAAATTCTACCAACTTCGCCAGTCTGAAATTGATCAAACATGCAATCAAGATGCATTGATCATTACTGGTGATTAGAATGTGAAGGTTAGTAACAAAAAGAGAAGATCAGTAATTGGAAAGTATGGTCTTGGTGATAGAAATGATGCTGGAGATCACAATGTAGAATTTTGAGAAACCAATAATTTACTCATTGCAAATATATTTTTAAAACAACATAAAAAGTAACTATACACATGGACCTCCCCAGATAGAATACCCAGGAATCAAATTGACTACATCTGTAGGAAAAGCTCAGTATCATCTTCCAAAACACAGTCAGTGGCAGACTGTGGAATAGACCATCAATTGCTAATATACAAGTTCAGGCTGAAACTGAAGAACATTAAAAACAAATCCAGGAGAGCCAAAATATGACCTTGAGCCTATCTCACCTGATTTTAGAGAGCATCTCAAGAACAGTTTGATACATTAGACACTAATGACTGGAGTCCAGAAGCACTGTGGGACGACATCAAGAACATCATACAGAAAAAAAATAAAAGGTTATTAAGAGAAACGGGAAAGAAAGAAAATAACAAAATAGATGTCAGACAAGACTCTGAAACTTGCTCTCCGGCACAGACATGCTAAAGAAAATGGAAGAAATAAGGAAGTAAAAGAGCTGAACAGAAAATTTCAAAGGATATCTCAAAAAGACAAAGTTGAGGATTATAATGAAATGTGCAAAGACCTGGATTTAGAAAACCAAAAGAAAACAACACAGTCAGCATT